TTGTGTCTTCATTGTTCAGATACTGTTGTCATGGGTGGAAATCAGCTCTACTTGCTTCTGGAAAGTTGGCTTTGGTGGATTGAGTCAGGCCTAATCAGATAGTCTCTAGCCTTGCCAAAACGGGACAAGACAACTGTGGGGCTTCTTGCTCTTTACTCCTGGGGGAAACTGGAGGGAGCAGTGGGACCCCTGTTCCTATTGTGCAGCTCTACAGACATGAGTCTGTCTGTCTGAAGAGCTGGTGTGAGCAATAAGGACTCCAGAAAAAGTCACTCACTGCATGTTTGCCTTTGACCTGCACTAGTTACAGGTGGGGCTCTATCATGTGAGGATAAGTCTGTGTCCTGGGAGTTCCTGGTCACTTGTGCTGTCATTAGGAGCTACTGCATTAACAGCTTTCGGAGCAGACTGGGAAACTTGGGAATTTCAGCAGAAAACCACTTAGGTTTCAGTTGCTGTACAGTTGAGTACAGCAGTACAGAGTAGATGTATTCCATGACCACTAGTGTGAGAGTACATTGAGACATTTCAGTGATGAATGACAAACCATGCTAAATGCTTTATCAGATTGCACAACATCTCGTAGGCTTCCTGTTGATGTGCTGCACAGTGCATATTTGATGGGCAGAAATTTGTTTATAGCTACATTTTTTCCCCATCAATCCCTAAACGTTGTCTCCTTTCTTTTGTCTTCTGTTGGGCTTTGAGATTAGCTGCTCATCACTAGATTTCTTTAAACATCCTTGTTAATGACAGCATTATTTATATTTATGGTTAGACTCCAGTTCTGACCCTTTTCTCTGTGTCTTGTTTTGTCTTTTCCTGATATGCTTCCCTTCTGGGCTTGGAAGAGCTTTCCAGTCAGCTTCAGCCAAACCTAATTTCTTTTGTTCTCTCTCACTTGAGGCTGACTGACCCTCCTGTGCTGTGAGTCTGTACTTGCTACTTGTGCATTTTTAATGAAGAAAATCGTGAGGGAATTGTTGTAATCAAACCTAATACCATGTGTGATACACACCAGAGTGCTTCATAATGTTATCTAAAATTGAAGTTTTATTTTAGGGAGGAATCAAAGATGTTGTTTTTTCTTTTAGAGGCATTGCAGTGGATTTGTTTTCCCCTTGAAAATCTTGCAACTGTTCTATAATACAGAGCTAGGTGCCTTATTTCCAATGTGAATCCCATCTTCTGGCCACTAGATTATGGGAGACTTCTGTCTTACACAGTGAGATAGAACAGTTTGCACATGGAGCACAAATCCATAGTGAAACTGCATTTAATCAGAGATCCAGCTGCATTCAGATGTTCTCTCACTTCTCCAGTTACTCCTAAACTGGTTTGGAAGCTGGCTCAGGAGCTGGCAGTGCCTGCTGTCATGCTGGTGTTTTCAAGCAGTGTGGTCAGTTTGTAAAGCACATGCTCTTGTGTGCTTTAGATCAAGGTTCCAGTTCAGCTGAATTAGTTTCCAGTTCATTTTAGCAGTTATTGTATTGGTGGACTGGGAACAGCCCACTTTGTGCAAAATGATCTGGTTTTCCCCTTGGACTCAGGATGGGGCTCTGATCCACTGCTCTCTTGTGGAGTTGGTGTGAGTATTTGTCTGCATCCTGGTGCAGTGGAGTTCTTACCCTGGTGAGTGTGTCACACACTGAACTGGGACCCTTGGGAACAATTCTGCATTGAGTTTATCAGCCTGGTTCTAAAATCCAATCCTGACCTAGCTGAAGATGTTTTTCTTAACGGCGAAATTCCCATGACTTCTGCTTTCAAAGTAGTTTTTTGTTTGGCTGTGTGTTTCTGTTTGGAGTTCTGGGTATTCCACTGCTCCATGCCAGGCTTCCTGAGCCAGAATGCTGGAAGATTTCGAACATGGCACGAAGCAGTGCTTGGAAGTGCAGCTTGGCTTCTTTCTTTGTATTCCATGGTTCTGTGCTTTATGAAGTTGCAATTGAGGTGGGAATTGAGATCACCTCCCAAATGTATTGATTTGTGAGGTGGAAAAATCCCAACTTCATGGTGTTGTGGTGCCAGTAAGCCAAACCCTGAGCAGACAAAGTGGGGATAATCCTAATAACATTTTCTCCAACAGAAAGGTGGCTTTTGTGTTGCTTTTCTGCTGTTTCCTGCACTAAGCATTTTGCTGATCCTTTTTTTTGCTGTTCTCCTTTCTGTAGATGACTGGCAAATTCCCCCCACTTCTATGAACACCTCAATGTGAAAGTGGTTTTTAAAAAAAAATTGTGCTTAAAAAGTGGCAGGCAGGACTGGGAGCAGATACAGCCTGGGTGTGAATCAGCCCTTTCACAACCAAGGCTGGCTCTGTGCGTGCCCTCTTGTCTGTCTGCCCTCCACCCCCTTTTCTGGGTTAAATACAACCTCTGACTTGGCTAAACAGAGGAATTTTTGACCAAATGAATTTGAGCACCATATGATCTGCCTCCTCATGTTCCCTGAGCCCTTTGCAGGAGAAGGGAAATGCTTGTGAACAAAGTCTGCTAACAGAGTTGTGGGTGGAAAGAGGACAAAACGAGTACGTGAAGAACCACATATTTTCACTGGACTTCCAAAACAAGTGACAGTTTGTTCTCCAGATAAAGGCACATTTGAGAGGAAAGACCTGAACAGTGAAAGTAGAGGGGATTTTGGTGGTTTTTTTTCTTGGTGTCACAAAAATTCTTGTCCAAAATAAGAAACATTGAGGTTTGTAAACATGAACTGTTTAAATATGAAAACGTGACAGGCTGAAGTCCCCTCGAGTCCTCATGGCACACAACAGAAGATCCTTTTCTCAGAACATGAAGGTGAGACTTCAGTGAAGGGGAACATGCTCTGACATCTGGGGTTTTGCAGTTTCCTTCAGTAGAGATAATCTTGCTCTCATTCAGGAAGTCCAGTGTATATGTCAAAACAGCCTGAATTATGTCTGGGTGAAACCTTTGGTTGAGACCCATGTCCAGACTCACTAAGCATGAGTGTGTTTCTCTGCTCAGGTGGGGTGAAGGAAGGCTGAAGAGTACTCTTGCATAAAATGTTGGGGGGATGTTATGTAACTACATTTCTGTATTTTTTTTTAATTTTCCTTTGTTTTTTTTCCTATTTCTGTTAATTTCTGCTGTGTTAAGATTGCATCCTCTGCAAATATCCTGAACCAAGCAAAGATTTTTTGTGAAGAGAAAGCTGGAGGTAGCATTCAGGGCAGCCAGGGAGCTGGTCTAACCACTTGCTGCTCACAGAAGGGCTTTACTCCCCCATTCACAAATGTTTCTCCCTCCTTCCTACCTTCCTTTTCCTCTTTGTTGTCTCCAAAACCTCATCTGTTCACAGGTTGTGCTCACTACCAACCCATTTCTCCCTCAGTTTGTTTTTCAGTGGATTTAGTGGGTGTCTTGGTGTATACAGTGTGAGGACTGGTGCTGGAGGGCCAGAGGAGATGGAAAGTGGGAATAGTGGCTCTCCTGGCTTCAGCAAGCTGTTAGATGAGCTCAGCACATACTGCTTTACACAAACTGAGGGACACTGGGAACCCAGGGAATTGTTGCCCGTGCAGTTTGAATTGTGCAAAATGAGCCTTTGCATATGTTGTTTGTGTTCAAACGTTGCAGCCTTTTTGCTTTTGTCTGAGAATCCAAAAGGAAAATAAAAATGATCTGCACAATTGTTTTGGCCTAGAAATTCAAACGGGATAGTTAATAAAATAAATGTTAAAGGAGGAAGGGGGTTTTGTCTACCTGAACCTGAAGAATGAGAAGAAAATCGAACCAAAAACCTCCATTGTATTTTTCCACTTCAAGAATTTACAGGGTGGAATTTGTAATTCCCCCATTGACCAAACTCATGAGAGTAAGTTTCTGTTCTTCAGATACAAAAAAACTTATGTTTTTTTGGTTGTGGATTAGGAAGAATGAACTTCTCTAAACTTTTCTAAAACTGAGCTCAGCTCTTCTAAACTAGCTGAGTTCGTACCGAGATGTTCTTTCCCTGTAAGCTCCCTGTTCAAAGACAAGCAAAGCTGGAATTTGTGCTGTGTAGTTGTGCCTGCTTTTCTCATTCTTTAAGAACTTCCCAGTACCGCTGACATTGCTTTGTGCCCATAGCTGTAAAAATCCTGCTAGTCCCTATTCAGTCATTAAACCATAGAAACTTGAGTTTGAAGGAGCTAAACAGCAGAGGCTTAGACATCCCATACTGGACCAATAAAAAGTTCTGAGAAGACTGTCTTCAGTCCAGATGCAAATACAAAGAGTACAGTACCCAGTGTATCATGAAAACAGGACCTTGCACAAGAGGCATGTAAGGAGTCGTTGGTTCTGCTTATTCCTGGGTGCAATTCAAAGAGGTGGTTTGTTCTGTAAAGTGTGGTTTGTCATGGAAGATGATGTCATTCACACCATGCTTGGGAGAGAGACTAAACATGATGCTTCTAGGGAAGGATCTAAGCCAGTCCAGTTTAGTGCACAGTGGAGAAGTGACTTATTGTCAGAATTCAGCCTCATTTGTTCTCTATTTAACGATTTCCACTTTTTTACTGTTAGGGTGGTGTCAGCCCTTTAACAGGTTAGATTTTTCATGCTATTTCTCTGCCTAGGATTTGTAGGAGCTGAGAGTTTAATTTTATCAAGCTTGTTGCCTTCGGCTTGTGAGTCCTGGCAGCCCCCTGCTTTTTCCATTTCCTTGCTCCAGCTTCTCCAGTGCTCAGCACTAAACCAGCTGTAGCATCAGGATCTACTTAAAAACCTTCCAAGAGTCTTGTGTATGTACATGCCACATTTTGGCTTGTTCAAATAACTTCTCAGTTACTTGTGATCACAGGGGTTTTGTAGTCAACCTTGAGGATCTGCACCCAGGTGTGCATTGTTGCCTCTGCCTTCCTGCAGCAAAGACTTCAGCCACTGAGTTTGATCCTGAATTCCTTGGACTTGTATATTAAATGATTATAAACTACACTTAACTGTGAATAAATACTTCTAGTTTGAACTAAGGTGTTCAACTCTCTTCTCTAGGCTCTGTTTTGGATATTATCAAGCACATTGTGGCCAAAGGAGAACACAAGACTGGTGTCCTGGATGAACCCTGTATAGCCACAATCCTTAAGGAGGTGCTGGAGGGACTGGACTACCTGCATAAAAATGGGCAAATCCACAGGTATTTTACATTTTTCTCACCTTTGTCATAAAATGTTCTTGAAACAGAGTAGCTGAGCACACACAGTCTCATCCCACAACTCACTGTGAGGGCATGAAGAGAGGAAAGTAAAGGTGGGAGCTTAATCAAAGTGCAGAATTCAAATGTCTGTAGTCTATAGACTACATCTGTATACTAGGCCAAATTTCGGTAAACTTTGGGAGATTGAAAGTTCTGACACAGAGAATCTCATTCAAAATGTCAACAACCAGCTGCAAAGTACAGTTGTTGGAGCTGGAAAACTTCAACTGGTTTTGTTTCTTGCTGAGCTACAAATCACCAAGAGCACTGCATAAGCAGTGTTGAGCAATTGAATAAGGAGCCCTTCAAGCCCTGATTTTTCTTTTTAAGGTTCACTGCAAGATCAACATAATGAAATTTGAATTTGAGTGATTTCATTAAAAAAAGAAAATGAAAACAAAATTAATGGAAAAACAACTTCTGTAGGCAAAGCCCAGTTAACTAATGGCCTGTGATTTGACAGATCACTGAAACATGAGGGTTTCTGTGCTGCTCTCTTGTTTGAGAGATACTTTTAAATCATATTTTCCTCTCCCCCTGTGTCAAGGTGTGGTGTAGTTAGTTCAGTAAGAGAAGATGCTGTCAGTCTGTTCTGCATTAAAAAGACTGAGATTTTCAATCCTAAATATGTGCTGAAAATAGAATATACTGCTTCTGGGTAATATTCACCATCCCAGCCACAGACTGCTGCTGGAGCAGCCTCTTCTTTCTTGGGAATTTTGTGAGCTTGGCTGTCTTCTGGGACAATGCCATTACAAGCATTGCTGCTGCTGCTGCTCTGCTGGAGTAAGTTTCTGTCCTCTTATAGCTGCACAAGAAGAGGTTACTTTTTGCCAAAATTCTATTTATTTAGAAAATCCAATATTTATTTCATATTTATAATCAAACTGACTGGCTTTTGTAGGTTATTTTGGGTTGAAAAAGAAAAAAAATGGAACTAATTGGAGTTTTTTTCCCCTGAAAGAAGTGTCAAATTTCATTTTCCAGTCTCCATTAAAATCCTTCAACAAGAGCCGTTGTCTTCACTGAAGACAGTTTTGATTTCATAGCTGGTTGCTTAACTTCGTTTTTTAGAGGTAATACTTCAGGCAGCTCTGGGAATTCAGAGAAAAGTGATAAACCAACTTACTTGCCAAGTACTTGGTAACTTTTCACTGTGCCAGAAGTAATTAATAGAACCGTGTTCATCTGTGACTTGCAGTTGGTTTGCTTGGCTGATATAGTCCATCTTCTGGTCTAGTGGTACTGAAATATATATGTTAAAGCAGCAGTAAGCTGTTAAATTTCAGTTTTTCTGAAGGTATCACATAATGTTTTCTGTACTGAAAGAGTGGTGGTTCTCCATTTGGCTGGGTGGATTGGAAGAGCGAAGCTAGTAAATGTGGTAAAGATTAGAGAGAATATATTCATGTGTGTGGTGTGGGGGTTTTTTACTGGTCTCAGCAAAAATACCGTGTTCACAAAGTTTAAACTGCTTGGTCTGAAGAAAATGTGATTCACATTGAATCATTTGGAAGTGAACTGGACCAAACCTGCTGTGACCATTCTCATCTTGCTGGTTGAAGCATTTTGCCCATATTTAGGGAACTTCAGCAAAGAAATCAGAGCTGTGTCATTGATGCAGCTCCAGGTTGTGGTTGTGCATCAGCTGCTTTGCATGTGTTGCATCCCTGTATTTTGGGGCTGCTCCAACAATTGTGTAGTGTTTTATCATGGAAAAGTGTTTGGATTACCTCCTTGTGTTGGGCACAGTGGTCTGGGGAATTTGGAGAAGTGGGATACACAAGGAAAGTTGTGAGGTTTCCTGCCTGTGATGCAAAGGATGGGTTTTAAGTGTTGGCAGAAAGCAAGCTGACATGCCTTTGAGGGATGAAACATGTTTCCTTAATGGAGTTCATCCTGCTGTGTTCCATTTTATCCAGATGTGTGTGTGCTGCTGAGGAAAACACAGTTTAAAGATGTGGCGCAAATGGGACCTTTCCTCATCCATAGGAATATCTGTATGGTTTTCCCGTTTTGCTTAACGCCAGGGGTCACAATATTGGTCATGCCTGATGGGAAAGGCAGGTGGAAATCTTAAAGCCGTGCCAGAGATGCTCTGAGAGGAAGTGTTTAAAATAACTAAACTTCAGTCCCCTGGGTCAGCTTAAAGTATCTGGCTCCAAAGGAAACCACATCAGGTGATGGCTGAACTGCTGTATCGTGTCTGCAGTGTGGGGCAGCTGTGCTTGGGGTGAACTTGAGGCCAGGGCAAGATCAGCTGTGAAGGATCAAAATTGAAGGGCTTTGGCCAGACCCGGAAGATCCAACTCGAAGCAAGCAGCCGTCCAGCAGAGCGAAGTGTTCAGCTGGTTGCACTAAATATCCCATCTCTGTTCATATTACACCTAGGAGAAAACAACTTGATAAAATTAGAGACGTAGTATGAGTGAGTGACTGTAATTAGCTCATCCAAAGATGGACAGCCAGGCTGGTGGCAAAGCCCAAAGGATGAATATCAGGACCCAAATGTGATTTTGTGGGCGCTGCTGACCTGAAGTGGGGCCATAAATCATTGGTGAGATCAGAGAACATATGTCTGACAGCAGAGCTGCTTCATACTTCTGAATTATTCATCATCTTAAACGGGTAAATGAAGTTAACACGTGAAAAACTGGCTTAATGAAATTCTGCTGCTGAATCTTACTCTGCATAAGTCCACCTTGAACTTAGTGCCACTTCCAATTAAGGTTTGGGGAACTGGGTTGGCGTGGAAGTGTAAATCCCTGCTTTGGACAGGAGAGGAGTTTGACAGTATTCTCTAGAGGAGATTAGAAAGCCAAATATCTAGTGAAGGCTTAAATTATAATTCTTTTTTTTGTTTACTTTCCTAATTAACAGCCAGAGCAAGTCCGAGACTTGAATAGGCACCATTGTTCAGCAACAAATGCTGAAGTTTCCCCCATTTGCCCAAAGTGATGTTTTTTTTGCTTTCATCTTCCAAAGGCTGTTGGTAAGTGTCTTGAGGCCTTATGGGAAAGACAAAGGAGAAGGCAAAATCAGTTTTATTTTCATGAAACACTCTATACCAAGGTGACGATTACAAATGATGCCCATCTTTCTCCAAAATCACCACTGCCTCTGTATTGCAGAGTTAGCAACTCCCTGCCTTCCCTGCCATGTGCCCATCCCTGCCCATCTCTCCTGTGCCAGCTGCTGCTGCTGTCCCCATTGTGGCTTCCTGCGTAGCACAGCGATCCCAATGCGGATTTGAAATCCCAGTGATCCGGCTCATGTGGAGTGAGTTAAGTACCTGGGCACCAGCCAGTGTGCTGAGGAGGAGGGCCAGACTCGGAAGCCTTTGGATGAAGCTGTCCTGCAGGAACGTGCTCAGGCACTTTTTTTTTTTTATGGAAGTCGAGCAAGACTGACGTGCTGTGAGGGGTCGCTGCCGGGCTAATCTTGTCTGGGTGACACTCAGGGTATGTTGTACCTCTTCCCCATTTGGACTCTGATTCCTCTGTGTATTTGGGGATTAGCAGGAGTTTGATGAATGACTTAGAAATAAAACTAAAGTAAAACCAACCCAAGAGGTTTTATTGCTTAAAAAGATTTATTGGAGGGAAGTTCAAGGCTTTTTCAGGTGGTGCTCCGTATGGCAGTCTGACAAATGAATCATGCTGATTAACTGTTACAAGGTCTCTCTGTCTTTCTCCCTATTTTTATCTCAGAGCTTATCTTCTGTTCATGATTAGCTGTTGTGTAACTGAATATTTTAGTTAGTCCAGGTGAAATGATACGCTGCTCAAATATAACCAGATTCTCCTATTGCAGCACAATAAATGTGATACTTGCTTGCTTTTTTTTGTAAATACAAAAAAGCCTGGAAAGTGGTTTAGGATTGCATGCACTCGAAATATTGGCATGGCAGCAGTCCAGCTATTACTTTGTTCACTGCTCTGCTTCTTACAGGGTGAGAGGTGCAGAAGCACATTTGATCTGCTGAGTTAGATCAGCCTATGCTGCTGTACTGAATGTTTAGGGGTTTTTTGGTGTCTTTTGAAAATCAAGAGTGTGGGCAGCAGGGTGCTGGGGCAGCTGTTTGAATGTTGCTTTAAAGGAGACCCTGGAAAGAGTATTCTTGCTGTGTTTCTATGCCAACTATATTCACTTATTTTTTGGACCTTAGGATGGTTTTGACAGAGGATCAAATTTTAATTTTTTGCCTCTTTACCTATCTTAAGAGTAAATAACTTCTGAAAAAAGGAAGTGAGCACATCACCAAGACTTATGTGTGGGCTTTTGCAAGAGCGCTGCTCCGGTAGCAAGTTTTGTATTTAAGATGAAGGAGCTGATGGATATATTTCGGCAGAGCTTGGCTGTCCTACAGGATTCAAGCTTAATTTTCATGTAGCTGATTAATGCATTGATAGCTGTGCTGGCAGGTCTTGTGGTTAAACTGGATTCCAGTATGCCTCTGATTATTTTGATGACTGAAATACTGTACTTTCTTGTTTCTGTAGCAATACTGCGGGAGAACATCAAGCCCTTCTCTCCACAGTGCTGTAATCTTACTTTGGGGAGTGCGTTTTGGAAGTGAAGTTTGGTAGGGGAGGAATGGATAACGGATGGAGCCTTTCCACCTCTAATTGCCAGTTTGATTTTAAGTCAGGACACTGGTAATTTGAAAGTTGGCTATTGCTCAGCTGTGGGAAGTGGAATTTTTTTATTCAGAGACGTGTACTTTGGTCTCTTTTTTTTATAGTATGGTAGGGGTAGAAATAACCCCTAGAGGTGGTAGTTAATATAAATTTTAGAGCTTTAATTTGTAAATAGTTCAGTAGTCATAGAAATGTTACTCTTGGCTGTTTCAGTGGGAAGGAGGACAAGATGCAGCTCTGGGTTGTACTGGGTGATTTGTTCCCCCAACAAACACCTTGCTGTGCGCAGTGTGAAGGGCA